ACTCCTTCACATTTAGAATATTACCCCTACATCTCATGACGTTTGTACATGTGTAAACATAACCACTTTTCGTTGATATCTATTAATATAATCGTTAAAAAATAATGATTTTATCCTAATAAAAAATTATAATTTCATATTACTCTTTATTTTGTGGATTCGATATACTCTAAAGTTCAAAATCAAGCTTACCATTTGAATGTCTAATAGAATGTAGATATTTATATAAAGAAAAATATGAAAAACATTATATAAATATCTACATTTTATTAGACATTCAAATGGTAAGCTTGATTTTGAATTTTAGAGTATATTGGACTCATAAAATAAGGGTAATATGAAATTATAATTTTTTATTACGATAAAATTATATTTTTTAATGGTTATATTAACAGATATCAATAAAAATGAGTTACATGTTGTACGTGCATAAATATTATGAGATGTAGGAGTAATATTCTAAATGTAAAGAGGTCCAAATGATTAAGTGACAAACATGAGGAGATCTAGGTATAATTTATCAATTTAGTTTTAAGTACATAATGATACAAATTTCTATATTTGAGAGTGCAAATTAAGATTTTTTATCTTTGGGGTGCACATTAATATAAATTTTTATCTTTGAGGGTGCAAATTGAGATTTTTGATCTTTGGGGGTGCACATTGATACAAATTTCTATCTTTGAGGGTGCAAATTGAGATTTTTGCTCTTTGAAGGTGCAAATTGAGATTCGAACAATCTTTCGGGGTGTAAAATGAGATTAACCCTAATTAATTTATTCGATGTGTGTGGTTTGTGGTAATTATTTCAATTACTACTTTGGATTCAAATTCAAAAATAGCAATTAATAGGAAGTTACTATTATATCCAATCTCAAATTATCATGTTTCTAATGAGGGGAAAATTTTATGCTATGTTCGTGGATGGCAACGGGTTAATTCTTAATCTGAATTGAAATGGGCAAAATAGCAGCTCAAGTACTCTTGGCCTGGTCAAGGAACTAAACAGCCAAATTGGAGGAAAGGCAATTTAGTTCAACTTGGAAGGCTAACGTTTGGGTTTGACAAATGACCTATTCATGACTCAACTAGGTTAGTCCGGTTAGCAACACAATTGCTCTTTTTTCGATCAATTTTGTTATAACTATAATCCAGTTTTGCATATCAAAAAGACTATTCATTCACATAAACTCAAAAGAAGTATGTATAAATTACAATGACATCTACGATTTTGATTTATTCTTCAATTATCTCCGTAGCAAATATATAACAATGAGACTCAACTAGAAATTTTGGTCGGTAAGAATTATTTAAATTTCAAAATTTGATCAAAATTAGAACAATAGAGAGGAGAATATTAAGGTTTTGTATCCATTCTACTCACATTTTTTTTTATTCTGAGACCATGATAAAATTAAAAAAGACCTTTCTACACAAGGGTTTTTTTGCAGCCTTTTTTAACTCATTTTCTCAATCCAAAAATTGATTGATTGTCTCTTATTGGTAGGACTATCAAAATCCGACACGACACGATTAACCGACACAAATTAAACGAGTTTGGGTGAGATTGTAACGGGTTCGAATGGTAAACGGATTAACTCGTCAAACATGTTTAATAAACGGATTGTGTTTGGGTGAGACCTGTCAACCCGTTTATCACCGGTTTAAAAAATTAATATAATAAAAAATTAATAATTATTTTAAAATATTTAGGCGTGCAACTGCTCTGCAGTTACCCAGAACAATCGTTGCGGCTCCCGCCGTCGCGATGCCACTGTTTGACGTCCATAGCCGCCTCAATCGCCCTCTAATTTGGTTTCCGTTATTTATCCCAGAGAAGTTGTTAGATGCAGTCAATTGCTCTATCCATAATATTTGAAAATGAGGGATGAAAAAACATGTACGAATAAATAGGGTACCTGTATTATTGAGTGAGTTACTGTCGCCCTCCATGGCTTCAAATTCCTGCAAGAAAATACAACTTTTATAACATCGGCTTTTTTTTTTAATTGTCGAGACCACTGAACAATTCCATAGAAGTATAGGAGAAAGGTGAACAAGCTGAGATAGATGCCACCAAGGAAGAGATAACATGAATGGAGATCTTGTCGTTGGAATTCTTAAAAATTTGTCAGTTTCATTCATTCTTAGAACATAGTGAAAGTTTTTGGGTCTGCACAGTGAACGTAGTGAAGGCTTTTTAACTTGAATCCCACATCGACAAATTTAGATGAAGGAGACCTCTCATACCTATAAAAGACTGCAACCCCTTTCTTTAGTCATTCAACCTTCTCACTTGCTTTTGTAAGTGGTACCCAACTAAAAATCTTTTAATTAAGAGAGTTCAGATGTTATGAGTAATTAATGGAGTTTAAAATTTTAATAGAATAATTTTTTAGTGTGGGTTAAAATTTTAATAAAATTAAACGTGTTAAACTTGTCGTGTCGTGTTACCCGTTTATTAAACAATTTGTGTTCGTGTTCGTGTTTAGATTTTTCACTTGTTTATTAAACATGTCATGTATGAGTTTACATGTTTTTCACCCGTCACACGTTTAACCCGTCACGTAACCGTTTAACCCAACACATTTGACACCCTTACTTATTGGGCAAAAGATCATCAGCAAGAACATTAGATTAATACACATTCTAATGTTTGATAAAATTTACAGTCAATTCAATGATTGTAATAAATTTAAATTAATAAATTAGCTCACAATAACATTACTCTTTGTGACTCCACAGATGCACATAAACTTTGATATGATTTAATCTCTTATGCCTAAGAGAAACTTCCGCAATTAAAACACTAATGCCCTGTTATTGGTTAACAAATGTGTGTACAAACGACATTGTAAACAAAATCTCATATTTGTCACAAAAACTTTGGAAACAACATTTGAGGAGACATATGACTATAATGAAATCATTACCATTAGTTTCCTCCAATAACTCAGTAAACCTTGACGATACTTCCTGCAAACAGTAGTTACAAATATATAAGAAAGAGAATAACTAGATAACTCAACCCGCAATTATAATAAAATAAGTAATTGTTAACCACTCAATTCCTACAAACGAAAAGCAAAAATATTTGTAAGTAGAGCTAGAAGCACACAAACCTCACGAATTTGATCATTCAATTTGAGTTATTTCACTCCTATCATACTTTCATAAAGTTTCACTCATTCAATAAGAAAATTTATTTTTGATACCTTCCAAGGGTATACGCTTGAGCTCAAACTCACTCCACTCGCTACTAGATTCGGACACAGTATCCAATTTTGAACTTTGTGAAAACTAATATTTAAATATTAATATTATTTATTTAACAATTTTTTTTTCTTATTTTCTAGATGCAAAAATATAAATTTAACTTTTGTATTCAAGTTTTTCTATATACTTCCATTAATTGAAGTTGAATTTGTATACTAAAATATAATAAAATTTATTATCAGTTAAAAATATAAAAAAAAGAATTAAAATTTATTAATATAGAAAAATAATTTTTTAAATGATGAATGTTAGTAGGATTTTGAATAGTAAGTTACTCTAACCCACTTTATTTTTTAACTATTTTGTGTGTTTGTTGTGTGTCTTAAAAAAATAATTAAGTAAAAACTCTAATACAAACAAAAAAAAACCTTAAATTTAAGCTAAGACTTGGTAGTTTGCCTCTTGTAAATAAAAATCTCCACCTATTTATTGGTCTTATTCGTCTTACAAAGAATGATTGTGATATTGTCAAATGTTTTACATTTATGGTGTCTAAAATCTTTTATGCAAATATCTAGTTTTTTAATATACAAGCACATTTTAGGTTTTTCTTATACTTTTCCCTATATTCCTTGTATATTTTAAAATTTTCATTGAAAAGGTTTAAATAAGAAACTTTTAGGTCTCTCTTATACTTTTTTCATATATTCCTTGTACGTTTTACAATTTTGGTCGAAAATGTTTAAATAAGAAATATTTTTTAGAATCCTCTAAAATATTCCTCTAAAGGGCCTTAAAATTAAAGTACTCATCCTAAGGTTGTTTGGAATTTTTAAGAAGACGGGACATGACAAAAATCTTATTAAATATTGTGTATTGAGATAACTTATCTTTTCAAAATTTACACAAAAAAAACACAGGTAAGATTGAAAAATAAAGGTAATAAAAGAGTATTTATTCAGTTGTGTTATATTAGAACTGTCTGAATTTATACTCATTACATTTATAATACACTATTAATTCAATGATCGTAATAAATTAAGTCACATTAGACCCCTAAACTATTGGTCGGCATTGTTTTTAATTGCCTTCCATTTGAGTAAGTCTTCACAAAGCAATTCAATGCACAAATCACCCATTAATACCCGATAAATATAATGCACATATTAAAAACTAGACATTATTTTTATGTCATGATATTTGAATCACAATAAAACTACTTAGAAGATTTTATTTTTACTTATGTTCCTTATTAAAATAAAATGTAAAAAAAGGAAAACATACACTAAAACACAACGTGGACAACCTGAATATCGAGGAAAAAAAACCCACATAACAACACAAAATCCATTATGAAATTTTAAATTTACAAAAATTTTCATGAATTATTATGACTACAAAATCTTACCATCTATAATAATAAAATAGAGCAATTTACTTAAAAAACTAAAAAAACGTTTGAGATTATTTACGTTCGACGATTTATATTACAAATTAATCTTTTAACTATAATAACTCATTTAAATTTTAACTTTTAATCTCTTTTGTACCCGGTTGGGCCTAAAAATGACCCAGCTAAAATTAAAAAATAAGTCCCCACTCCCACCCAACAGTCATCATCTTCAACCCTTACAACCACCTCTCCCCCACCTCTCTGCAAATCTACTTTGTGTGAGAGAGATGGGAACATATATGGTCCTGGAACTGGGCCTCCTCCTCCTCCTCCTCATCAGGTTAGACATTGTCTTCGCTCTCTCTCTCTCTCTCTCTCTCTCTCTGCAAATCTAAGCTGCTCCGTACGTTAGGTAAATCCATTGCATCTCGCCATCTGCAGGTAATCCATGAGATCAATAATGTGACATTACAAAACCTAAAAATGTCATTTCAATCTATCTAATAAGATAATTAATATTTTGAATTTTATCCCCACACACACACACACACACACACACACACACATATATATATATATATATATATATATATATATATATTTTTTTTTTTTTTTCTATCACATCATTCATTATTATCACAAGTTAAATTATTTAATTTTTTATTAATTTGTCGTTCAACATAATTTTTATTTCAAAAATTATTCATAAACGATAATATACACATGTTACTTATTTTTTGAGATCATTTATTTTGAGAATTTATTTTAAAAAATAATTATTATTCAATATAGGGGATTCAATTTTTCAGACACTCGAATTTTATGTTATATTGTGCCTTCAAGCACGAGTTATAACTGGTGGATAAATATTCAATGACCAAATTATATTCAAAAACCATAAGAATTGGCTGAATAATTTCAAAAAGTCTAAAACAGTATGAAAAACTTACCAATGGCTTTTTTTATTTTTCTTTTCTTCCCTGAACAAAAAAATTTCACACAAAGAGAGAAACTTGTCAAAAAAAAAATGTATTTTTGTTTATGAGCAAGAGTTGAAAACAAAGTAAAAGTTAGTATTTAATTGAACATTAACTTCAAAATAAACAGAACATCAACAAACACTCAACATCATTTACCTCTCTCGCCAAAAACTGGCTTCTGTTGTTGTTGTTGCATGTCTTCAAAAGCCAGTGGAGCACATCTCTGCGACATTGGCTCCATCCTCCTCTTTGACTGTTGAATATCCGTTGAGACTGCAGACAGCGTAGGAGATGGAACCTTTGGCTGTGAGAACCGACTCCCTGCATCTGATAAAAGGGGAAGGAAGCTATTTTAGCAAGATATTGGCTGCAATTTTATTTTAAGAATGCTCATCAATGTAATACGAACCTTGAACAAGGAAAGAAATGTCAACATTTTGTCTATTGTTGTTATTTGATTCCAAAAACCGTTTGATCGTGTCTCTTAGTGTCTTGTTTGGCAAAAGATCATCAGTAAGAATATTCGTGGCTCCACAAATACACACAGATTTTGACATGATGTAATCTCTTGTGCCTGAGTGAAATATTTTGTAATTAGAACATTAATGCCCTGAGATTGTCAACAAAGGCATATACAAATGGATATTAATTGTGAAAAATCAGAATAAGTAAGACTTACATTTGTCACAGAAACTTTTGAAACAGCATTTCCTACCTAGCATTGCATATTTCATCACTTCTTTACACAATGGGCAGTGAAGTTCTGGTGGGAGATCATCACCAACAGAACGAGTAGAGGACAAACCTTCCATTTCTTTATCAAAAGCAGTCCTGTAATAGAGAAAAAATATTGTTACAATCCTCTTCTCCCTGAAAGAAATTTCTTCACAGTACTGTCAAGAAACAAAACTCGGTAGCGAAAGAAAAAGCAGAGCTTACTCATTCGGCTTCAATACAGCAACAGCACCACTTGGTAATGCATAGGAGCCATGTGGTGTTTCCATTAACATGGATTTCGGAATACCAGTTGGAGGTCTCACTCTTTTGATGTCGTAATTAGGATCACCATTTGTTGGGCAGTGCTGAATGAAATGTCCAGGCACCTTGCATCTGTGACATATGTAGCCCTGTGGTGGTGTTTTCCACTCCAAACCACCTCTCCCTGAGGAGTTAAATTGTAATAATATTTAGCCTCAAAAGCATAATATCAACTACAGAACTCACATAAGTACCCAACAGCTAACATTTATAAAAGAACATTTTATTCATCTATAGTGCAGCCCAAGACTACATCATTATCTAGTAGTTTGTTTTGTGTCTGGTTCATCCTAGAGGCTGTTTGAAGAGTCAGTATGGCCATACCATTTTGTCTCACCACCCTATTATCTTTGCTAAAGAATGTGGTTCAGCGATGGTTTGTCCAAGACAGGTATTGAAAATTATTCTATGATGAACGAATTATGAAAAGTAATATCTCAAATTTAAGTCTATACCCCTTTTTTTTTTGGCTCGAAAGAGCAAATAAGTACTTTTACATATGAACTCGTTTGATAGTTTCAAATTTAGCAGATTATTAAACACACCACCACATCATCAAGAAGAAAGTGATATCAAATAACAAACATCTAAGAACAACAGAATTCAATGGAGAAGTAAACTGAGCAACATTATTTTTGCCCTTTTTCACATGATGCCACAGTTATGTATATTGAATACAAAAGGTATAGAAAATCACCAAAACCAATCCCTCCCACAGCCTTTTCAATACCTCTGCCAGTGCCAAATCCATCAGATTTTTGACTGCAAATCCACAAGTATTGCGACAAATAAGATTCTGAAAGAAAAATTGTGCAGTCCAAAAAGACTTGTGAGAACAATACAGCTAGAGAAATACTACTCACCGCTGCCAATCCAAGGTCGGTGTATCAATTAAAGCCCGGATCTTCTTGTTATCATCGGCTTTTCTCAAAGAGGTAGCATCCTGAATTGCATTGCTTGACTGTACTGGCGGAACAACAGGAAATGCATATGGATCACTCCCAAACTCATCCCATTCTGAATCTTCAAGCTACAAAGGCCAAAAATTGAATATGCCATTACATCTACGAGTCACATGTGAACCGGATAATAAATCCAAACTCTTTCAAAGCATGAAGTGAATTGAAGCTTACATTGTTTGTTACACATGAATTAGCTCCCAGGCAGCTACTCTTTGCTGGTTGGAGATCCTCTGACTTAGTTTCCACCTTAAGCCTGTAGAACCATAGACCACAGATTTGTTAAAATAAACACTGATACATAGTTTGTCTTTGACAACATATTTCACCTTAATAAACAAAATGTAACTTAGTTATCAAAAATGTTATAAACAAAACCACAAGCAAAATAATAACGCAATGAAATAGAAAAATAGAATACAAAGATTTACGTGGTTCGGCTCAACAAGCAAGCCTACATCCATGAACGAAACACAACGTCAAAATTTCACTATTGAAAGGTTGGAGATTACAACGTTCTCAGAACAAATCAAAGAAAAAATTAGATATCTGATATATTCCAATAATAAAATATTTATTGGATTTAACAAAATAGAGCAATATCAATTTATCACACACAAAGAAAACTCTTGTACCGTCGTCAATGGCTAATCACTAACTCACCAGAAAAGACATCCATTTTATCTAGCTTCTGGACTAAGGAATTTGATTCCTTCACAAAGTCTTTTTATGCTGAGGAGGTCTCACGTGTAGGACAAAAAACCAAAGACTCCTTGAAGGCCTTGAGTTTAAACAACAAAAGTCCATGTTGGACTAAACGCTACTAAAATAATAAAACCAAGATAATCCTAATTAAGGTCAAACTTGTCTATCAAATAACNCCAGAAAAGACATCATTTTTATCTAGCTTCTGGGTTAAGGAATTTGATTCTTTCACAAAGTCTTTTTATGCTGAGGAGGTCTCACGTGTAGGACAAAAAACCAAAGACTCCTTGAAGGCTTTGAGTTTAAACAACAAAAGTCCATGTTGGACTAAACGCTACTAAAATAATAAAACCAAGATAATCCTAATTAAGGTCAAACTTGTCTATCAAATAACTCTAATGAAAACTCATGTCTTCAGTTAGAGTCCATATAAAAAACAATTAACTTGAATGCAAGTCATCACAACAAATCTCCACCTTGACTTGTATTCCATCTATCCATTCAACCAATGTGAACTTGATCGCTGCTTTCGTCAAATACCCCGAAGGGTACACTCAAATAGTGCAGACACCAATCAAGTCCAAGCAATGCTTGAACTTGAACACTGGTACCGGCTTAGTAAACATATCTACTGGGTTCTCTGCTGTAACAAACTTTTTCACTGTGACAATACCTTGAGTCATAACTTCACGAAGGAAGTGATACCTAACATCAATGTGCTTGGTCCTTTCATGATACATCTGATTTTTGGTCAAATGTATTGCACNAGCAACCTTTTTCACTGTAACAATACCTTGAGCCATAACTTCACGAAGGAAGTGATACCTAACATCAATGTGCTTGGTCCTTTCATGATACATCTGATTTTTGGTCAAATGTATTGCACTTTGACTATCACAAAACACAGTAGTTACCTCTTTTTTCAAGCCCAAATCACAGACCAAACCTCTTAACCAAATTCCTTCTTTAACTGCATCTGATACTGCCATGTATTCTGCCTCTGTGGTAAACAAAGCAATTGTAGACTGTAGGATCGCCCTCCAACTTACANTAAACCAAATTGTTTTTTTTAACTGCCTCTGATACTATCATGTATTCTACCTCTGTGGTAGACAAAACAACTGTAGACTGTAAGATCGCCCTCCAACTTACAGTGCACCCAAATAAAGTAAAAACATAACCTGTCAGAGATCTCTTTTTATCTAGATCACCCGCATAATCTAAATTAACAAAATCAACAACTGTAAAATCAATGTCATCTCTTCTATCAAATACTAAGCCAAAATCTGTAGTGCCTCTCCAATAACGAAATATCCATTTCACAACCTGCCAATGAACCTTCCCAGGATTAGCCATGTAACGGCTAATCACACTAACTGCCTGTGAAATATCTGGACGAATGTAAACCATAGCATACATGATGCTTCTAACTGCACTAGAATAAGGAACACAAGACATAAATTGCTCATCATTCTCACTCTGTGGTGATAAAGTTGCTGAAAGCCTAAAGTGAGCGACAAGTGGAGTACTCATGGGCTTCGAATTCTGCATCCCAAACCGCTCAATAACTTTCTCAATATATTTCTTTTGAGATAAATATAAAATACCTGCTCTTCTATCCCTGTGAATCTCCATACCCAAAATTTTCTTTGCAGCACTCAAATTCTGAACTCAACTGTTTCTTCAACCTGTCAATCTCTAACATGCTCTTAGCAGCAATAAGCATGTCATCCACATAAAGCAATAAATATATCAAAGAACCATCTGACAACTGTCTGTGATATACACAATTATCATAATTACTTCTAGAGTAACCATGATCTACCATAAAGGTGTCAAAATGTTTGAACCACTGCCTTAGAGACTGTTTCAAACCATATAATGATTTCTTCAACAAGCAAACATGATCTTCTTTACCTTAAACAATAAATCCCTCTGGTTGATACATGTAGATAGTTTCCTCTAGCTCACCATGTAGAAAAACTGTCTTTACATCAAGTTGCTCAAGCTCAAGATTGAGTGAAGCAACCATGGCAAGCAATACACCAATAGAACTATGTTTTACCACTGGTGAGAAAACTTCATTGAAGTCCACACCCTCTCTTTGACTGTAGCCCTTTGCAACTAACTGTGCCTTGTACCTTACAGATTTAACCCCTGGAATTCATTCCTTTTTCTTGAAGACCCATTTGCAGCCAACAGTCTTCATGCCCTTAGGCAATTTCATTAATTCCCAAGTCTGGTTCTTATGAAGAGAATCAATTTTCTTAGTCATAGCAACAACCCAATGTGCAGACTCTTTACCTGTGTCAACTTCTAAATATGTGGAAGGCTCATAAACACCAAACTTCTCTGCTATAGTCAGTGCATAAGCCACCAAGTTTGCATACCCATATTTTTTAGGGGGTCTAATTTGCCTCCTCTCCTTGCCTGTTGCAATACTATACTCCTGTTGCTCTTGTGGATCATTACTTGAACTAGAAGCAGGCAAATCTGAAATAGATTGAATTGGAGTACTTTCAAGTACATNCTTGTGGATCATTACCTGAACTAGAAGCAGGCAAATCTGAAATAGATTGAATTGGAGTACTTTCAAGTACATTCTGTGAAGCTTCTACCTGTAGCTCCACCTCCTTGTTATAATCTTGTTCTTTCCTTGTAGAAACTACAAACTTCTTTCTCGGATGAAATATGGAAGATTCATCAAATACAACATCCCTACTGACTATAAACTTAGGTGATTTAGGATCAGAACATCACAATCTATATACTTTCACACCATTAGTATAACCAATAAATATGCACTTATTAGCTCTATGCTCAAGTTTACCATCATTCACATAACAATAAGCAATGCAACCAAAAAAATTTTAAATCAGAATAATCAGCAGGAGTACCAGACTATACCTCATGTGGAGTCTTCAACTCAATAGCAATGGATGGAGAACGATTAACCAAATAATAAGCAGTGTTGACAGCCTCTACCCAAAAGTCTTTATACAATCCTGCATTGGAGAGCATACAACGTGCTCTCTCCAAAAGAGTTATGTTCATCCTCTCTACAACCCTATTTTGCTGTGGAGTAGACCGGAAAGTACGATGCCTAACAAATGCCTTCATCTTTGCAAAACTCATTAAATTTACCTCCACAAAATTCCAAACCATTATCTATTCTGAGACGCTTGACTTTTTTGCTTGTCTGTTTCTCAATCAAAGTTTTTCATTGCTTGAAAGTCCCAAAAACATCACTCTTGCGTTTCAGAAAATATACTCTAACCTTTCTTGAATAATCATCAATAAAGGTCAAAAGGAATCGAGCTCCACCCTTAAATAGAACCTGAGAAAGATCCCAAAGGTCTGAATGAATATAATCAACTGTACCTTTAGTCCTGTGAATAGTTGTACTGAACTTGACTCTGCACTGTTTCCCAAAGACACAATGCTCACAAAAATCAAGTTTTTCAATTTCTTGTTTGCCAAGCAAACCCTGTTTACACAAGACTTCCATGCCCTTCTCGCTCATGTGTCCCAAACGCATATGCCATAATTGGGTAGTATTTGAATCTGAAATTTTTGAAGGTGACACACCAACTGCACCAATCACAGTATCACCATGAAGAACATAGAGGTCATTAATCTTTTTACCTTTCATCACAACCAGGGAACCTCTGTAGACTTTCATAACTCCACCTTCAACAGAAAACCTGCAACCAATGGAATCTAAAGTACCCAAGGAAATCAAATTCTTCTTTAATTCTGGAATATGTCGTACATCTGTCAAAGTCCTCACAACCTCATCATGTGTCTTAATTCAGATAGTACCTATTCCAACAGTCTTGCAAGCAACATTATTTCCCATCAAGACTGAACCACCATTGACTGACTCATAAGTGGTAAACCAATCCCTATTAGGGCACATATGATAAGAACAACCCGAATCAAGAATCCATTCATCATTAAAACGTCCATCAGATACTGTAAAGACATTATCTGAACCATCAGATGTATCTTCAGTAACACCAGCAATACTAGAGGAATTGGAAGGCTTTGAATTTTTTTTGTCCCCCTTTATTTTTCAACTTAAAACAATCACGCTTATAATGACCAATTTTATGACAATAAAAATATTCAACATTATTATGTTTCTTTCTAAACTGTGATCGATATCCAACTTTTCCTTTTCCTTTATCTGAATTTCTTTCAATGGATCGACCTCTATTATTATTAGAAGAATTATCATGACGATCCTTCACAAATAAACCCTCGGCTTGAGTATCACTGCCCTTACTATTCAATTTAGTATGTAACTCCTTAGAATTCAAAGAGGATTTCACATCAACTAAAGAGATTGAGTCTCTCTCATACAACATCGAATTAACAAAATTAACAAACGAATCAGGCAACGAGCATAACACAATCAGGGCTTGATCTTCATCCCCAATTTTAATATCAATATTTTTCAGGTCAATAATAATTTTGTTAAATTCATCAAGATGTTCATTAATGGGCGTACCTTCTTTCATCTTGAGTGTGTACAACTGTTGCTTCAGA